TGTGGTGCTGGAGAAGAGTATTGAATGTTCCATGGACTTCTAAGAAAACAAACAGAACCATCCTAGGGAGGATTAAACCAGGCTACTCCTTGGAGGCAAAGATTCTGGGGCTTCATCTGACATACTTTGGGCATGTTGCCAGGATGGACAGGTCCTTGGAGGGGGACATCATGCTTGGGAGGGTGGAGGGATGGCACAAGAGGGGAAGACCCTCTATGAGATGGATTGATTCAGTGACTGGGGTAATCGGGATGGGTATGTCAGAGGCAGTGCGCTTGGCACAGGATAGAGCAGGGTTTAGGGCCGTTGTACATAGGGTCACTATGAGTCGGAAACAACTCAACAGCACATAACAACAAACAACAACATTGTAAATAGTATTGCTTTCTTGGTTTCCAGCTCTTAGTTCTCTTTGTTATTGTTGAGGAATCCCACTGACTTATGGATATTGATCTTATATCCTGGCATTCTGTTTAGTCTTTGGAGTTCTGTATACACTATCATATCATTAGTATATAGTAATAGTTTATCCATCTCTTTGCCTATATGAATGCCTTTTATTCCCTTCTCCTGTTATATTGCCCCAGAAAGCACTTTCAATACAATATTGAATAGAAGTGGTGACAGTGGGCATCCTTGTCTGGTCCCTGTTTACAGAGAAAATACTTTTAATCTTTCTTCATTGAGAATGATGTTGGCTTTTGGTTTTACACATACACTTTTGAGTATGTTGAGGAAATTCTTTTCTATTCATTGCAAATACGTTTTTTAAGAGACATAAACGCAGGTTATACACACGGATTTCAACTGATGGTATGCATAGAAATCAGATAGATTACATCTGTGGAAAAAAACCGCTGGAGAAGCTCAATATCAGCTGTGATAACTAGGCCAGGAGCTTATTGTGGAACAGACCACCAACTAATCATATGCAAGTTCAAGCTGAAGCTGAGGAAAATTGAATCGAATCCACAGGAGCCAAAATACGACTTTAATTTCACCTCACCTGAATTTCAGAATCATCTCAGGAACACGTTTGAGGCCTTGAACACTAATGAGTGAAGACCAGATGAGTTGTGGGAGGATGTCAAATGAATCATCCAGGAAGAGTGCAAACAGTCATTGCAAAGACAGAAGAGGAAGAAAAGACTAAAATGGATGTCAGAAGAAACTCTGAAGATTGCACTGGAACGTAGAGATGCCAAAGCACAAGGAAGAATTCAAGACACTAAAGAGCTGAACAGAAGATTCCAAAAGGCAGCTCAGAATGACAAAGCAAAATGTTACAATGAAATGTACAAGGAGCTAGAGTCAGAAAATCAAAAGGGCAGAACTCGTTCAGCATTT